GGACGCTCCCGGGAGCCAAAGGAAGGGGCACAGGGAGGGGCTCGGTGCTGGGACTAGCGTGATGCAGGAGGGGGCCCTGCCAGCCAGAGAGGGCCCTGCCAGCCAGAGAGAAGGGCCCTGGGACAAGCAGCATCGCCCCATGGAGATGCTCCATGAGATGGGGGGGTCGTGTCCCCCTCCTTCCCCGGAGCGACACCCGTGGCAGTGCAGGGCCCTGGTGCTGCTGAGGCTCAGGCAGAGCCCAGGGCAGTAACATGGCTTTTTCAGGGGCACTTCCAGCCCCGCTGCACACCCTCGCTGCCTCCTTTTCCCCCCTGAAAAGGCAGAGGGGCCTGGCCACAGGGCTGAAGACAGGGCCAGGCAAAAGGAGGGCAGCAGGAGCGAGGGGAGGATGCCCTCCCTGGGGACAGGCCCTGCACTTGCACACACACAGCCCCCAAGGGCGGCTGAGGCACGTCACACGGAAGGAGCAAGGAGACCCGCTCCCTTTGGTCCAGCCAGGGTGTCAACAGTGCCACCCTCCTGGAGGGAAGCCCCCGCCTAACGCAGGGCTGTGGGCACAAGGCCACATCCCCCAGGGGGGTTCTCTCCTGCTGCCCCAGGGAATGAGCTGGGACATGGACTGCCTCCAGCAAGGCTCAAGCAGGCAGGAGATGACAGTGCCCCACAGCCTATGAGCCCCCGGCCACGAGCAGGAAGGGGCTCAGCCCCAGCCCTCAGGCTTCTCTTTCACCACCTCCCAGAAAGGGCTTGGCCCAAGCGCAGGGTCACAGAGCCCAGCTCCCCGCAAGGACAGGCTCAGCTGCAGGGCCAACATGACACAAAGGGAAAAAACTGAAATGGTCCAAAGGGGCCCCAGGGTCACGGTAACGTGCTACAGGTACTATTGCTAGCCCAGGAGCTGAGCTCTTGCGTGGTCAGCGGTCCAAGGCAGTTACTCTAAGGAGGCCCCGCTGCTGCCAGGGCTCCCCGTCTCCCACAGTGGCCCAGAGGGCAGGGGAGGAGGGCAGGCCGGGGCGGGAGCGCCGCGGCGCCTCCTCCTGCCTCCGCTCGGCCCCAGGGGCATTTGGTCACTTGACTTCCACACCTGGGCCAGGGATTCACAGTGCCCAAGCATGAGGAAAAGGCAGCAGCAGAAGCACAGGCCGGGGCGGGCGACAGCCCGGGCGCTGCTCATGTGCTGGCAGCGCTGCCGCTGCTTTGCACTCGAGACCCCTGTCTTTCCACATCATCCAGAAGAGCTTGGAGCTAAGGGCACTCCGGGGGCTCCCGAGACAGGATGCGCTCCCAGACAGAGCTCCAGCCCCGAGAGCCCTGCTCTCTCCTGCTTTCTCTTCCCGCGTCCAGTCCTCCCTGCAGAACACAAGAGCGGAGCCCCGGGCTGCCCCATGCCCAGCGGGCGGCTATGGAGTCTCCTCCCAAAGGCAGAGCTAGTGTGGTCAAAGCCATGGGACAGGCGCCAGGAGCTCTTCCATCCTGCCTCCCCTTAGCTCTTCTATCCAAGTACATTTAAAAACAACGGAGCGATACAAGTGTTTAAAACCAAAAGGTGTCTGCTTTTCCTGGGGTAGTAGGTGGTCTTATTTGCTCCTGCCACCAGGACAAGGAGAGGCCGTAGCTCGAGGCTACTGGTTTTCCTCACGCATCTGTTCCATGATGTTGATGAGGCTTTCCAGCCCGAACACGTAACCCACGTCAGGTCCGTCGTGCACAGTGGGGTCATCGCGAAAGCCCTTGAAGGTGCTATGTGCAAAGTCAATCATGCGCACGTCCACCTTGGGCTGCCCCGCGGGGCCAGGCTCCGTGCCGCTGCCCGCCTGCGGGCTCTCGCCGAGCGCGCTGTCCACCCGCTTGGGGCGCATCTCCGCCCGCCGCTCCACCAACATCCCGGCCCGGCTGTCTTTCCCATCGTAAATGATGAGGAGGGAGCTGGAGTAGAAGCGGTAGGAGGCCTGTCTCTCCAAAACCGCCTTCAGATTTCGGAGTTTGGCGAGGACAGGCTCAAAGAGGTCCTTGCGCAGCTCTAGGCCGTTGTGGAGATACTGGTAGAGGGCATTGCGGAAGCCCTCGATGGAAAGGCCGCGTCCATAGTATTTATTCCTGCATAGGTAGTGCCCTGTGTCCAGCTGATAGACCTGGAAGGCCAAAGGAAATACGTATCAAGAAGGAAGGACAGGTTAAGGCAATAAACAGGTAACCTAGAGCTGTCTGGCACTGCCAACACAGATGGACCTTCCCACGTCACCGCCACCACTCCAGGAGTGAGCAGGGAACAGCTGGGCCTGTTCCACAAATCCCAAAACATCTTAAGGGCGCATCCCACAGGCACTTTGATCGTCACCACTAAGAATTTCTTCCCTCCTGAGAGGCCCAAAGGGCAGCTCAGCAGTTTGAGGGACCCCAAGAAGCAGGACACGACAGGCCCAGTCTTGAAGAGCTGAGTTCTGGGGCAGTCCAGATACTTCTCAAGCAGCAAGGGCTGCCTTTAGGTACTACTGTCACGTGGCATAATATTAACGAGGGACCTCGACTGCTTCCGAGCCTGTGGAAAGGGATCTGCAGCACAAAATACTCATGTGGATGGGAAAGGAATGACTGTATTCTACATCCGCACTACAGACGGATCCTTCTGCTCAAGGACTAACCACAAGGAAAGAGGAGGTTGCAACTCCCCGTGCAGAAGCAAATGTCAGATGCTGCTGAAACCGAGACGCTCTCCGCCTCGCTGGGGATTGTTCTTCTGGCTAAACACTAAGAAACACAGGCCTGCTAGATTTTATTTGCAACCCCCAAATTTTCAGTGTTGAAAACAGCTGTGGGAAAAAGCAGGAGCTGCATATATTGTAGGCTTAAAAGCAAATGCAAAACACGGGTACCATAAGCACCATCGTACTTACCTGAAGCGGGAAGACTCAGGAATTCAAGCTCAGCAGAAAGCGCTTTAGTAGAAGCTCTAACGGGGCCGGGAAAAGTAAAGTGCAGCCCATGGGCCCTGGGGGATCCCTACCTGCATCCCACACACGCGCACCCCCAGGGTGGCAGAAGTGCTCTGTTCACACTTCTTCATCTGCCGAGCGGCCTTCTCCTCCGAGGCATCATCTCCGTGCTGCCTGGTCCCCATCTTCAGATCAAGTACACAAGGAAACTTGAAATGATGCACCACGTTCTCCAGCAAAAGGAACTCTGTGAGAGCGTCAAGGAGAGCTCGTGTGGCAAAGATGCTGCTCCATGGGGCTACCGCCGCCTCGACGGGATCGTAGGAGAGTGGGGCAACAAAAAAGTAGGGAGTGAAGAGCGCACAGAAGAACTGCCTGGGAGGGCAAAGCCAAAGGCAACCCCCAAACAGCAGGACACAGGCTTTGACACACTTGGAAGCTAAGAAATTACACTGCAAAGTGGAATGCCTAACGTGGAAGAGATCCCACTGAACACTCGGCAGGAAGAAGGCAAGGAACCAGAGCACTGTCAGGAAAGGCACGGTACAGCCAGGAGGTGACAAATGAAGAAAGAGCCTAAAAACCAAGTCAACAATTTAACAGTATAGATAAAGAACAGCAAATCCCCATCAACTCAAACTCAAGGCTCAACAGCACCAATGTTACTGGCCTGACCTGAACAGCAATGTTGATGGGCGCGCAGGGGGAGACTGGAGAAGCTACAGAGGCCAGAAACCCAATGGCCGCGGCAGGCTTCAGTCACCACCACGCTCACCAGGCAACCCTCATGGTAGGCACAACATGGAGAATAGCCCCGAGACCGCCGGTGCCCGCACACGGAGCGGCTCGTCCCAAAGGGCAAAGACCCACCGTTAACTGTGCCCTGGGGAGCGCCGCAGGCCATGGATCAAACATTGCTCTGAAACAGCAAGCGCAGCACAACTAGGTGAGCCTTGCTGGGAAGTTCATAGTCTGCACAAAAGCCAAGGAAATTCAGCAAAAAATGTGTTGGTTTTGAAAGAGGAACTACAGAGAACAAGGAAGTGTGCCAGAAGGAAGCCCAGCGGAGAGCTAAAGAGATCTACATCTCCGCAAGTGCTGTGGACACTCTTCAAAACTAAAACCTGGAGGCTCAAGGCATTCGTGAAGAATGGGAAAATTAAAGTCTACACATTTAAATTGAGGCAGAAGAAAAGAGCTATTAAAAGTACGGTTGTCTCTGTGCAAGCAAAAGAATCAAGCCCTGGGAGATGAAGAAAAAAAATGCAAGTTGGAAAGTCACACAGAAGTGTATGAGGAGTGATTCAGTAAGTCTTTCTTAACCACATGAGGAAGCCATTCGGAGCGTCTGAAGGGTTTAAAGACAACAAAAGAATACAAAAAGTTATCAAGATAATAAAATAAATGAATAAAAACTAGAAGGAGAGACCCTGGGAAGAAAAGCAGGATGGCAGCTTTGCTTCTGCATCTACTGCAAAAGAGTTTAGGGGGTCTCCAAGCCAGAACTGTCTCAGACTGAAGGGCCTGCACAAAAGGGCAGACGTCCAATAAATAGAGTAACAAATCCCCGGATCCGGATGGTCTCACCCAAGAATCCTAAAGGACTTGAGGCAAAAACTCTTGAATTAAATGGAACGTGTAACACATTTAAAACTGCTTTAGCACTACGCGATAAAGGAGGCAACCGCAACACTGATTCTGAGACATCTGGGAGAACTATGGACTGATAGAAACGTACCAGAAAGCTCAACAGGAAACTGTAATAGAGAGCAGAGTTAGCAGACAGAGATAATCATGAGCTATCAAGGAAGGATCCGTACAGACCTTATAGAAAAAGAAGGTTGCACTTGACAAATATCCTAGGGTCCTTTGACAAATGTGGGCATGAGGCATTAGACTGAATAAAGCAGCAGGGATTAATCCCGCGACGTTTGACACAACGCTTCCTTGGAGAGGCTGAGCAGCAGGTCGAGGACTCGGAAGATGAAGTCTGCGGATGCCCGACTGATCCCACCGCCAAAGTCATCAGTAAGGTCTTTGTGTGGAGACCCAACGCTCCTCAACAAACGATCCAGAAAGGGGAATGAACACTGAGATGACAACGTTTGTTGACTCCACCCAGTTACTGAAGATTGCAAGAATGAGGAATGGCGGTGAAAGACCCCAGACAGCCTTTATGAGGCTGACCTGGCCATTAAATGGGCCAGGATGCAGATGAAGTTCTGCAGAGTGCGGAGAAAAAAGTATCCTGGCTTACTGTATAAAGCAGTGGGTTTTAAGACAACTAAAACCTGGGAAGAATTGTATCTTGTTTACAACAAGAAGTTTTCATCAGCACTTCGTTACTGAATAGCAGCTAAAACAAAAGCGAATGATAGGAGTTATGAGGAAGAGGAGAAAACATCCTTACTCTCCTGGGAAGCCTCTGGTTACCAGCACCTTCAGCAGTGTGCAGTTCTGAATCACCATCAAGAAAGACACTATGGAACTGGGAGAGACCCCAGGAAGGCAACAAGGACAACGACAGCAGAGCAGCTCCTCCCAAGCAATGAGCCAACAAGCTACCCCTGCCGCTGCTGCTCTGCAAAATCTGGCCCAAAACTGAACCCAAAACCCAGCGGCAGCGACCCGAGGCGCTTGGTTCTGCTCTGCAAAGGATACTGTAGAGCTTTCGCTCCTTGGACTCCGATCGCATGCGGCTCAGCTGCTGCTTGTGACAGCGCAGGCTCCAGGGGTTGTAGCTGATCTTTTCAGAGCTCAGCCCGCTGTTCCCATCCAACATCTGAAACGGAACATCTGAATGGATGTGCAAGTCCACCCTGGGACTCTTCATCTCCTGGATGCTGCTGGTATAAAGAACAGAACAAGCTTGCCTGTTAGTGTCTACATATTCTGCAGAGAGTTACAGCCATTGCACACAAACCTGCCTCCCGCACCGGGTCATCTCCTGTCCCTTCTGCTGCACGCTCCCCACAGTATAAACCTGCCCAACAGCAGCTTCCTAGCAGCAAATCCTCACTTTCACACTCGGAACCATGTTCAAGGGCACTGGCTATTTAACATCTGTGCTGGGCTGTACTTAACAAAATAGAGGAATATCTCCTCTTTCTCTGTGAGCTCGTGCTGCACTGATGAGCCAAAGACCTATATTCTAGGTAGCCCTGGAAGAAAACGCTGGATTGGTGACCAGATGGAGCGGAGAACGTCGGAATCATGTTCATATGAGAAGGGAGAAGTCTGGGTTGGTTTTACATTGGTTCAGTTTTCCATGAGTGGGAAATCCTTGCTCCTGTCTCGTGAAAACCAGCACTCATGAAACGATTCATATCTTGTCCAACACAGTTCTGACTGTGAAAGGTGCATTTACTTTAGATTACCAATGCAACGAGCAGAAAAGAGCTGCAATATTTACAGCTAGTCCTTTGGTTACAAATCCAATCAAACATGCTTGTCCTGAATGGGACACAACTCCTGACAAGGTTTGCAGCGCCAGTCTGCGCAAGTGCCCTGGGCTAGCAAGTACGAGACAGCCAAGCTTTTGTGTGCAAGCACCAATGCCCTCAGCGAAGAGGGCCGCAAGCGGACGTGCTCACTCCATTTCCAAAGCTTTACCTTTCGGTGCCGTCACTGGCCAGGCCAGGTTTCTCCTCCTTGTGCTCGGTGCCACTGCTCGATCTGTGGAGGCTGCGACGGGAGTGTTTGCGTCGCGGCTGGTCCCTCTCCGGCGCGTCGTCCTGCTCCAGAGCCTCGTTCTCCACGTAAGGATAAGCCACCAGGTTAATGTAGCCATCGCTGTCTCCCTCGAAACAGACGGACACAACGCCTGCCAGAAAGACGGAGGATCAACCATTGCAACCGTTATCCCCCAGGGAATACACAGCCAGCAGCATCCAAACGTACAATGGGATAGAGGGGAGAAATAAAGGCAGCAAAAAAAAAAAAAAAAAGGCAGCAAAGCAAATCCAGACGGATGAAGAGATGCTAAAAAGCACAAGGGAGAAACTAAAATGCTGTTAAGGGCACAAAGGAGAAGTCCCTCAAGCAGCACCCTGCCACCGAGGGTTGCTCACTACGTGAGCCAACAGCCAGCAGGGCAGGGAAGGCTGTGCCATCTGCAGGAAATTTGGTGCATTTCAATACACCGGGCTTGCTTTTAGCCACTGCCCTAACAACTTCCTGAGCTGTGTTAGGCAAAGCACAGCTGGTATCTGATGGAAGTCATTATCCATCCAGTACCCAGTCCTCAGAGCAAAGGAGGGGTCAAACTGGAGAAATTCAAGGGCAGGCTGCCTGGATGATGATGAAGAAGGGGGCTGAAGCATATGGAATATGTACGTGAGTCATTCGGGTAAGCATCCATGTCCCGCAGAACTGTTCCTGCTGTCTACAAGGACATCCCTTGCCACGGAGGAGTGGGCTTTTTCCACTAAAAAAGAAAAATAAAGTTCTCCTGCACCTGAGTTATGAAATAGAGAGTTTTAAGGCTTAGGTGACAACTGCAGCTTTGTACCTTAAGTGACTGAGTCTTGTACATAGGGGGTCTGCAATGTCCCCGGGGATCCCAGTGACAGGAGATCACGGAAGCAGGACTACCTTGGTCTGGTGCAAGCGAGCAGGACTATTTCTGTCCTACCTGCCCATGTCCCTCAACCCACCCTGATGGAACAGGGGGTGGGTTGTTAGAATAACATCCAAATGCTCAAACAGGGAATGCCAGCCCCAGTATTTGCCACTCCAGGAAGGTCAGGGAAGGTTGCTGGCACCAGCAGGGATCTGTAGGTAGGATACAGATTCCCAGGGGTGTGAGGGAACGTGACATACCTTCAGGCTGCCAGGAGGGCCCTCACTAGGAGGCAACAGGCCTCCATCTGGCTTATCAGCTCTGTTAGTTTTAAGCATTTCTCCCAAGCGAGGCCTGACGTCACCTCAATCCCAGGGTCACCAAAGCGCCATCTGGCCCAAGAGCGGCTTGAGGACACGAAGGACCCGTCCGAGATGGCATCGTTCATCCGTGATCGGCCTAAGGACATGAGTAAGCTGACACTGCCTGGAGACCCCAGGGCTGCGCGCAGAGCGAGGGACAGGACCCCGGGCAGATGGTGGCCCCAGCTGTCCCCGAGGGCCGGTCCTGCCGGGGCCAAGCGGTGACAAAGCAGCAGAGGGAACCCCAAGAGCAGGAGTCCTCCGGGAGGCCACCGCGGCCATCCCCACTCCGAACAGGTACATTGAGCTTTCTCAAGGCAAAGATAAGCTGCCCTCCCTCCTGCAGCGATAGGGAGGCTGGAATTTTCCACTCCTTGGATGCGGCTGGTGCCAAGTGCTGCACCTCAGCGCTGGGGAGGAAACACTTCCTCCTGCAGCAGCTTTCTGATACAGGGCACTAAAAACGACAGGATGAAGCAGCAATAAATTACCAGGCTGGAATGGGCAAGTGCTCGGTGTATTTATGACCCGACTTCAGGTGCTCAAGGTCGACTGCTGTAGCAATAAGCGATAACACATCTATAACTTGAAGCTGCAGACTACAGCCATCACTTTGGGGTTAGCAAGAACAGCATTAAACCCTGGACGCCTGCAGAAAATTAACATCCTCCTTTCCAAAAGCCCCTGCTAATTTGCTAGCTTGCAGAAAAAGAAAAATTAAAAGATTAAAAGCAGACAGAGAGACAGAAACATATCGGTAGGTCCAGGAAAAGGAGAGAGCAGGTCCACGAGAGGGGTTTATCTCCATCCTGAAGCAGCAACAGGCCTCACCTTTGTACTCGGGTGTGAACTCCTTCATTTCGGGGGGCAGGGATTCGTAGAAGCGCTGCTCTCTGGTGATGAGGGGCTTGCAGACGGTATGGTCGTCGTAGCGCATCATGCTGCTGTGGCCACCCACCTGGTGGATGAAAGGCTCCAGCAGGACCCCCCGGTCTCCGGACTGAGTGGCGTTCTTGCCATACTTGCCCACTTCCATGGTTTGACAAACACACATCGCGTTGGGCACCGGTTGCACTCCTGGAGCATGGGGAGAGCCACATGGGCTGGGAGGGGGAGCTCGGCAAGCGACGGGCAGCCAACGGCTAAGAAATGCTGGCAAATTGCTGCCTTCGGAGGATCTGAAAAAGAAAAGCAGAGCCCCGTGAGTGGAAAACCACTTGCATCCGCTCCCTATTTCCTAAGAAAAGTTTTGAGGTTATTTCTTGGTATTTATTTATAGCCGTAACTGCTCCTCTTCCATTCTCAACTTACATCCTTCTTGTTCCAGCATGTTCTCTTTCACCTTGCAGGGAACACGAACTAATTTGGAGGCTGTTTCATCCCCATCTAGAGTGTCTCCAGTAGGATCACCAAGAGACAGTGCAAGAAGGAACTGCCCCTATTCCTATCTTTAAGGAATATTAGCGCCTTCCTTCAGTTTATCTTATCAATACAGCAAAGCCATAACAGAGCACCAACTGTGTCCTACACCACAGTTAAAAACCAAGTCAACATCTGCCTTTCAGGAAGAGTGACAGAGCACAAGCAGAACAAGTGTAAGAATTCCCATTCAATTCCCACCATAAAACCATTTCTGCCCTTTCTCACTATTCCTTTTCCAAAGCACTAAGAGATTCCTGCAATAAGATGCCAATATTCCCTCTGCTGTTGTGCATATGCTAGATCCAAACGGATTCCCCTTGGATTTATTACTGCAAGTCCTTCGGGGCAACAGCTATTTCCTGCTGCTTTTACAGCACCTCCTTGCACAGCCCCATGATTTCTAGAGGCATCCAGGACAGATTGCTACATCTGAACAAGATTTAAAGTGCTCTGCAGAAGATACTTACTTTTTTAATATTTGTAAAGGGTCTCACATAGCTATAGGCTTACATAAAACTAAAGAAATTAATCTTTTCTGCATATGATTTGTTCCTTCTAGCTTAGTTCATAGTTGTTCCTGAGGCTGCTGGGGAAACAGAGGACTTGTTCACAGCAATAAGCAATTTGGTACACAAACCATATGGCAATTAGCTTCTGAATTCATCAAACCTGTTTTCTTGGCACAGCCACACCTGAGGGCAATATAATTAAAGCCTGAGGGATCTCAGAGGCCTGACCAAGGGACACAGTCTGGGGACATTCCTCCTGTGGCCACAGGATGTCTCTGGAACTACACGACCCTGCAGACGGGTGGGAAAGCCCAGAGAGAAGACAGGCTCCTCTTCCTGCCTCCAATCCAAGTGGGTAAAAGATGGGATTCTTCAAAAACATTGTGAAACTAGAGGTGAGACTTGCTCAAAGGTTTAAGCCAGCAAGGTGATCATGCTCCTGCTCTTGTCTGCAGCTTCCTGCTCTCCCTGGGGTGCAGGATTTCGGGATCGTACGGCTCACGCTCCACACGGAATCCCTTGCTCACCCAGAGGAAGGCTCCTTCCACGGTTAGGCGGAAGAATACGGGTATTAAGGAAACCTTTAGGATAGGGACAGAGGAGGGGAAAAACAGACAGAATCAAGAACATGTAACAAGACACACTTAGATCAGTCAGTGTTATCAGGCATCCTGCAAGGTCTCCCTAACTCAGGGCCAAAGTCATAGCATGAGGACAACACACCCCAGGTACCTCTCCCCTCTCTCTTCACTGGTATAATCAACACAAAGATTTCAGCTGCTGAGACTTCCCTAGGAACTATTTTTAAGCTTTAATATCCGTGAACAAGCAAGGTGTTGCTTGTTCACACAAACAGATGGGCGCTTTACAAGCGCTGAAGCAACGTTTGCAGAGCTGCATCTCCACAAGCTCCCACAGCTTGCTCTTAGATTCGTTTTCCCCATGATTAAAGCAGAGTTTTCAGTTATTCCAAACGGGGTAGGGACAAGCTGAATTTCACACCTTCCTTTAGTTTAAACATTACAGGGTAAGAGAGAAAACAGATCCAGCTGTGGGATAATTAGCACTTACTCAGGAGATGTTTATTGGAGTCTGGGGTCTGCCACTAGCCTAAAAAAATCAAACACAAATTGCTCGGGGTCTCAGTTTCACCAGCGAGGAAAGGAAATACTATTATCACTAATGAATATAATTAATCTCCCTTCTGCAAAAGGGGCTCAGACATCCACAAGATGGAGATCACAAAGGCCTGTTGGCAACCAAGGCCCCTGCAGACTGTTCCTGCAGTCTCGAGTGCTTCACCTATGGTGTACAGGCAGCTTTTGGGGACCAAAATGACAGACTTGAGTCCTGGGCCTGCTCTGAGCCACTTTTTTTTCCTAAAAAATGAACAATAAGCCATAATAATTCAACTGAATTATGCCACACATTCACCCTGCCTCTCCAAAGAAAACAGCAACATAAATAATATTTTCTGTGTACAAGCCTATGGGTGCAAATTCTTTCTGGAAAGTGTTTTTTTTTTTTTTTTTTAAATGAGGAAGTTCTCTACAGGGCTTTCGGAAGGGACATGTCATGTCTCACACACACACAGCTTTAAGTCAGTCTGTTGGAAAAACATTCAGCAAAGACCAAGCAAAAAAACAGGGACACTGTTGATGAGTAAGGACAGAAGAATCCCAGCAGCTTCAAGCAATTATAAAGCAGAAAACTATTAGAAGGCCTAAATATTACTCACCCCTCCTCTGCTAAACCAAGGCATTTAACTATTTCAGTTGGCCTCTCATAAAACTTAGGGCTCTTACAATTATATGGTAAAATGTAACACGATTCTCGCACAAAACTGCTCGAAAAGGAGCAGTTCATCTAGGGGAGCCCTCTCATACTGGCCGATGTTTCCATTATGTAACCAAACACCACAGAAACGTTGAGGCTGATTTAGCATCCTCTCCCCCTTCCCATGCCCTGATCTAACGTACTCTACCTGATATTCCTTTTTCCTCCCCAGGAAAAAAAAAGACCTTGCCCAAAAGGCAACTGACTCAGTTATATGGACAGGAAAATGGGCAAAACTTCCATAAATCCGCACTAAAGCTATTTTCCACCAAAAAAAAGAGAGAGAGAGAAATAGTTGTGCCAGACTGTAACACAGTATGCAGGGAGAAGGTCGACTGCATCCTGACTAGCCCTCAGGATCTGCAGTGCTGGAGAAGGGGACAAGCAGCCACTGAGGATTCTGGAGCAGGGATAAATAGTGACCTCCAGCCACACTGATAGGAGTTGGACCTTCTCTCAATTACCCCAAAGGAAGACCAAACATGACACAAACCATCAGTACACGGGACAAGAGGACCAAAGCAGCTGGCCAAGTGGTGCCTGGTTCCTGCTCACAATAAACTGGAGCTCTTTGGCAATGTGCAGAAGCATCTGATGTCCCTGCTGCAGAGTCCCGTGGCTTCCCGTCACGCTGGACAGAGTGACCCAGCTCCCGTGGAAGCAAATGCAGAGATGTAACCATCTTGCACTGTCCTGTGGGATAAGCTGGTAATGCGACTACTTTGGAGTAGGCTGCAGTTCTTTCTCCTAGAGATCTGAGAGAAAACAATTTGTTTTGCCCTATTTATATCGTATTAATCCCAGAACATCAACACATCTGTCGATATCTCATGAAACCAAGAGTTATTTTCTCCTCCTCCGTTTCCTGAAGAAAGCACAAGCAGCCAAGCATTTTCGGCTGCTTCTTTATCAAGAGACCCTGCTCCATGCAGTTTTAACTATGGCCAGGATGCCCAAATCACTCAGTAAAACCAGTATTAAGGGAGTTAAAGAAGGCTTTTCCCTAGATGCCAGATTAGCAAGGCCCACATGGGCCCCTCTGCTGTCACCGACATGTAAAGTATAGTGTGTTTGCAGGGCGAGATGAGATACTTAAATCCCTTCCTGGATATCTCAACCCAAGGCCCAGATAAGACCTCTTTTCTCACCCTGCAGTGACAGCTTCTTGGTTTTCCTACACTAGGGTGCTAGGAAAAGGTTGTGCTGTTTGGCACCCTGTGGAGCAGCTGCTGCAAAACACTGTGAACATCCATCAGGCAGCTGCCTGCAGCAGAGGGCAACCAAAGCCAGCGGCGCAGGCGGCCTCGTCCTGCTCATGTCCCCGCTCTGGAAAGATGGTAACACTGGGGCTGATGTCGGGCCAGGGTGATTTAACCCCCTCGTTCCTCTTCTCTCCGGGTCTCCCCTTCTTTGCACGGCACAGAGAACTTCCCAGTTCCTGTCACTGGTGTCACCGTGCGGAGGAGGCTGAAGGCAGCTCCCGTCCTCGTTACGGACACACTTTCCTCTCCAGCGGGCAGCAAGAGCCGGGCAAGAGCAACCGGAGCTGTCGCGTCTCCCTGCACAGCTCCTCCGAGCAAAGGGCACCGACTCCGTTTAGGAAGGCCGGCCTCCGTCCAAGCACGCACTCAGCACGTACCTTAGCATGCGACTGCTTTATCAGCACAAACCAGAAGATTTTCTTCCAGGCTCATGCCCAGGAGAGCAGAGTCCTCCAGTGAAAGCTTTGCATTTTATAGGCAGGATGAAAATATGACACAAACTCCCTAGAGAAGGGCTGCGGGAGGAGCGGTGCTCATGGGGCTGCGCCACGAGGCTTTTGGAGTTAATTTTTGGCTTCTCCATCTCATTTGCAAAGAGAGGTGAGGGAGAACAGCTTACGTTGGAAGCAAGCACTTTAAAACAACTCCAGTGCGAGCACGGGCTTTCAGCACCAGTGTCAGATCCAACATGGTCACAGAATTCCTACTCAGCAATCACAGGCTATGGAAGGAACCAACCTGGCCCATCAAAGGATATTTCCTGAACTCCCACTAGCAAAGAGAAGCGCGGCAAACCTAGCAGCAAGCAACCCAGAAAAGTGAGAAAAAACAAGGCAGATTCCAAGGGATCTCTCAGCCAGTCTTCTCGGTGCTCCAACAGCCTCACAAGTGCTCAGAGGTGCCAAGGGCAGAACCAAGAAAGTCAGTTTGGCCTCGGAGGTTACTGCTGACTCCGAGCTGGCAGGGTGCTGTCATCACCCACTTGTGCAAGAAGCTCCCAAACTTGAGCTCCCACTCACGCCTCCGTGCAGAGCTGACGGGTAGGGACGGCCCTGCCACTTGGGCAGGTGGCCCTGAGGCTCCCAGACACCTGCAGCGTGGGCGGGAAGACGGGCCGAGACCCTCCCGGCTTGTG